TGCCACTGCCCTGTGCAGTCTGCACAGGCAGGGGTTTAGCACAGCACCTGAGTGCATGGGACGGCTTTGCCCTCTCCTGCCTGCAGGCAGATGGACTCGCTGCTGCCGGGTCCTGCCGACTGCAAGGCAGGAGGTGCTGAGTCCAGCGTGGCCGGGGTCTGTTCCGACTTCAACACCCAAAAAGAGGTGGAGGCGGGGGGCTGAACTGGGGATAGAGGGTGTAAATAGGATCAGGTTCCTTAAAAATGGACGGATCAGCTCCTTCTCAGCTCAGGGGATCCGGGCAGAGATGAGAAGGGATTTATTTTCCACCCTAAAGCAGCAGAAAGCTGCAATCTCTTACGGGAAGGGCTTTCCCCTGCTTCTCCTGCGACTGCCAACAGGTGCTACCCTGCGGCTCTTTGGGCTGGTGCCTCCCTGGGCTGGATCAGGCCCAGGAGAGGAGGTCAGGCGGGGATCTTCTCCCCTTTTTGGGGAAAAAACAGCAAATGGGTGAAGGACCCAGAGAGCCCCTGTGCTTCACCTCCAGGGGGGATGAGATGCAGGGAGCGGGAGGCACACCAGTGTGACCACGACGAGCAGAGCCCACGCCGGGGACGCCGGGAGGGCCGCGCAGTACTTACCTTGCTTAGCTCCCGCAGCTTGTTTCTGGCAGCAGCCGCATCCTCCTGCTCAGCGGTGAGCTGCTTCTCCTTCTCTTCCAGCTGGCGTTTCAGGACAGCGACTGGGTCACCCTTCTGTGTGGCCTGCCAGCAGGGCGGCACATCAGTGGGGACCACCACCTCTGGACCCATCCCCATCACCCCACATGCACAGGATCCTGCCCTCTGCTCCAGGGGAAAATTCAGCTCCATTCTCCGGGACTGACCCTCGGGGCCAGCCTGCCTGAAAACATGCCACTTTCCCTCCCCTCCGCACCTCCCGAGGCTCGGCAGAGCCCCAGCAGCGGGTGGCCACGATGGCGCTGGCAGCCCTACCGTGTGCCAGGTGTCCTGGACGATGCCTGCTTTCTCCGTCAGGATCTCGATGAGCTGCTGGGCCTCCCCCTCGCTGAACACCATGCTGCTGACTGTGGACACGAGCGTCTTGTAGGGCAGGTAGAGGGGCCCGTCCGAGTCCGCAGGTGCTAGGGAGGAGAGAGGAGGGATTGGGACTGCTCAAGCCATTGGCAGAGCATCATCTCAGCTGGCTTCAACCCCACAATTTCCATTTCAAACCAGCATCCACCCAGGTTTCCACAGTCAAGTTTGATACTTCTCTAACTGAAAGCAATATGAGAAGTGCTGGTGATGATACTCACCACACGTGTGCTTCTTGAGCCAGCTGTCACCTCTGCCTGACTCTACTACTGGTCCCACCACCCTGCCACCATCCTCCATCAAACTGAGTGATTCCCGGCAGGAGCTGGGCATGCTTTGCCAATGCCAGGGAGCAGAGACATGTTAGGCATCAGAAGCTGGACCACACCACAATACAACCTTGCTGGGGGACATCACCCCATGCAGCGGTGCCAGTGATGCAGAGTGCAGCAAGGTCATCTCCCACCTTTCACCAGGCAGGTTTGTTCCAGCTCTTTGCTAAGGGAACAGCACAAGTCCAACCATTCCCCTACACCTCTGCTAACATGGGAAAGCCAGATAGCATCAGGGACCATGATGCTGTTGTAGGACCACAGTGCACATGGTCACAAGGGATAGAGGGTGGCGGGCACTGGTTTAGGAGCTCCTGCACAGTATCTATGGCCCAGTGGGCTTATTTTCCTAAAAAATCCCAGAAGAAAAAGCAGTTTGGGCTCCAGTAGCTCCAGAGCCTCTAAAGCCATTAACACCAGGGTCTCTTGAACGCAGAGGTCGGAGCCCCCAGGCAGCAAGGTCAGAGAAGGAGGAGGAGGTGCTGCAGGCGTCAGAGCAGAGATTCCCCTGCAGCCCCTGGAGAGGAGCCCACACTGGAGCAGGTTCATCCTGAAGGACTGCAGCCCATGGAAGGCCCCACGCTGGAGCAGGGGAAAGGTATGAGGAGGAAGGAGCAGCAGAGTGGAGCTGTTATGGACTGACCACAGCCCCCATCTCCCTGCGCCGCTCAGGGAGGGGAGGCAGAGGAGTTAGGAGGGAAGGAGTTAAGTTGAGTCTGGGAAGAAGAGCAGGGGGGGAAGGTGTTGTTTTAATTTTGTCTCTGTTTCTCATCTATTTTAATTGGCAATAAATTAAATTAGTTTTCCCCAAGTTCAGTCTGTTTTGCCTGTGACAGTAATTGCTAAGTGATCGCCCTGTCTCTATCTCGACCCATGAGCTTCCCCATCTTATTTTCTGTGGAGGGGGGGGAGTGAGAGAGCGGCTGGGTGGGCATCTGGCAGCCAGCCACAGTCAACCCACCACAGCAACAGAGCGGCAAAGCCCAGGAACGCCTAGCAGCTCCAGCACGCACTGTTTGCTCCTGGCTTCTGGTAGATCCATTTGGGATGGCAGCGCTAAGCCCTGGCAGCAGCAGAGTCTGTCTCACCAACAGCAGCCACTTCCCAGCAGCACAGCCGGGACAGCTCCACCGCCTTGTGTAACCGGGGCTCAAGAGCTTGGCTCATACTTTACTCATGCTGGCAACAGTGCAGATGCAGGACAACACATCACATCCCTGGGCCTGGTCCCACTGGGTGGAGGGACCCACCAAGCAAAATCTTGCCCATCTCCTGGCGGCATTGCGCAAGTGAGCCTTGCACAAGGCGGGCACAACGCAAACCCCACCTTGCAGCTGGCGAATGGAGCCGGGGCAGCCTGCCAAGCCACGGCAGAAGGAAGCCTATGCTGCCACCGAGCCCATTTGCAGAGTCGGAAACCTTGCACCTTGCCAAAGGAAGCGGCAAAACAAGAAGCAGCCGTGTGGCAAAGCTGCCATGGGATAAAGGGTCTGAAGATCTGCTTCTCAAACCCAAAGGGACACAGGAGACACGGATGGCCCTTGCGTGGAGCCCCACACCCAGGAGGCTGCAGCCCAGGTTGGGTACCCACATGTGTCTCATGGGAGAGCACGGTTTCTGCTATCACAGGTAACAACCTGGGATCTGAGTACACACTAACCTCTTGCAAGCAAGTTTTTGTGTGATGCAGGAAGCTAAAAACAAACCACACAAGAGAAAAATACCCCAAGCTGCTCTTGTCAGGTTTACCATCTGTTTCAGAGCCAAGCACGTGTCTTTGAATACTTTGAACACCCATTTTTATCTGCCACAGGATAATTTGTTGCTTCTGCCTTTGAGGAGGAGAGACCAGAGCTGCTGAAAGGCTGCCCGCAATACCTTGGTCAAACTGCAGCCAGCTTCGTGGCACAAATACTGCCGAGAGCTTTCCTCTGAAAAACCCCACAGAAGCAGCTAAGACATCACTCTTGGCTTTTAAGACATGCAGGATCGGCACTTCATACCCAAAGGAGCGGATGTTTGGAGCAGCCAAAAAAACTCCCAACTTAAGTGCTAAAAGTTCACCTCCCATCCACATTCCCTCGGCTGTTACAGCTTCGATTTAGGGCCATGTTTTTCAGTGTTAGAGAAGTGCATCCCTGCGTGCACATGCCAAACCAGCCACCTCCAGTTTCCCCAACACCATCGCTGCGATACCCTCCAGTGGCGGCTGCTCAAACTGTTTCAAATTTCGTCACTGTGGAGATGGCCTTTAGTAAAATCCTTTCCTCAGGGGAGCAGATACAAGGGTTTTAACCCAACCTTAGAGATGAGCGGCCACAAAATGTCCTGCTGAGTAGCAGCCCCTCTTGCAAAACATGGGTGTGGAAACTGCCAGATCACACAGCAGCCTAGGTTTGGATGCGCTGGAGAAGGCTAGCAAGTAGGGGTGTCTTTATGTTTGGTTGGTTTTTTTGTAAATAAAGAAAGAAATGAAACCTATGCACACCACATCACATCTTTGAGAACACCTGCGCGATTTCTCCCACGTGTCCATATGGGAACATTTCTACAGGTCTGAAAGCACTCACATTTTTAGTGCCTGCAACTATCACTTAACCAAAAATAAAACCCAAACTGTTCACATTGGTACAATGAGAGGCAAGAATCCAGCTACAGAGCTGTTTCTCCCCTCCCTACACCTATTTACACCCTGTACAGAGTTCAGGACCACCTTCTTTAATCTCTTCCATCTCCGAGTCAATCAAGTGAGGCATGAATGACGACAGGCAAGTTTTCCCTTCCCTGTGACATATCCAAAGTCACTTCCCTCTAACTATCCTATGATCAATCCCCCGCACTATAAAACCCCTTCAATCCTCTCTCCTCCAATAGGCTGTTTTTCACCTCCTCTGAAGAAGGAGAATACTCTAGCAGTGACCCACCTTCCTGTAGAAGAAGAGTGGTAGAGCTCCTGTATGCTTTTAATAATCAGGGTGGAAGGGGAAAACACCTCATCTTGGCTTTCCACCCAGACGTCCAGCACCTTGGCGGCTGCCCCCTCTCCCAGGACAGGTACATGCACCTCCCATTCATTCTCGGTGTGCAGATCTGCTCAGAGACCCCCAACGCAACAGCAAATCTGAGAGGAACCTGTAACTCTCCGACACCTGTGTGCTGGACCAAGGAGCTAAGCAACCAAGCAGGGGTACCCAATGCAGGAGGCAACACATTACAGAGTGAAAATAAGTCTATAAACTCTTGACTTCAACTCTACTTCCCCTCAGAGAGAACTACAGTCCAGTACAGGCTTTTTCAACGCACCTTCCCCTTGGCGCACATGGTCCATCTCACCAGAGACAGCCTTTCAACAGCTGCCCTGTTTCCAATACTGAAGAAGAACGAAGAGATCTCAGAATGGGATAGCTCTGTTTTAACAGCACCAAGATGCCCTGCTGGCTTACTCGATCAGGATATATGCAGAGGAATTTGGCCTTACCTGGCTCGCTCTTCTTTTTGGATGCAGCCCTCTTTTTGACAGGTCCATCATGCTTCTGCTCCTCATGG